ATGAGACAAAGTATATGTGAACTGCTGTATGAAAAGTGAATTTACTCTGTAAATCTTCACCCAAATCCTAATAAAAAAAAAAAGAGGGTCCACTGAGCCAATAAATTTAGGAAACACTGTGGGTGTTACATTGCCCTTGTGAAGATTCAGAAAGTGCAGTATCAAACTCATGGCCCTGAGAAGTCCTGTAGTAATCTGTTTCACCTAAATTCCCCATTTCCCAAATGTAACTAATCACAGAATCACTCTGTCCTGTACCGCCTGTCAACTCTGTGAGGGCCTTGTCCTCCCTGAACAGCAGGAGGACTGGTTTCTCGGTGCAGCAGCCCTAGCTGCCCATGGGCGTGGGCAGGGTATGTAGGGGGCAGCAATTGTATGAACAGAGGCCCATTGTCTCCTCAGAAAGGCTACCATGAGATCCGAGAGCTCCGCCTCTTCCACTTCACTAGCTGGCCTGACCATGGTGTCCCCTGCTATGCTACTGGTCTCCTGGGCTTTGTCCGCCAGGTCAAGTTCCTCAACCCTCCTGAAGCTGGGCCCATAGTGGTCCACTGCAGGTAAGCCAAAGCTCCCTGATCCCCAGAAAAGTACCCCTCTGCAGCTCTGCTCTTCGTGAGGGAGAGACCCCCTGTCCTGTGACTTCTGTTCTTTACCTGAAAGCCTCCCACGCCTGCATCCCTTATGACTACCCTTTTTGTTGCAGTCAAGGTCACAATATCTAAGAGCAACAGTAATGGTAATAGTAGTATCAGTCATTGCTATTGTTGTTGCCCTGAAATCAGAGACACAGAGGACACGCACTGGGCACTGACAGTGTCTACCATGTCTACCACATGCCCTTTTCCCTCATTATTTCATTTACTGAGAGGTGGGCATTATGATCTTCCCATTGAATAGATGAGAAAACAGAAGGACTGAGAAGTTAGACACTTTGCAGGGCCATACAGGTGTAAAATGGCAGAGCTGGGCTCTTTAACATGCTTTTCTCCAGACACTATCCCCAAGCTCCTTGACGTGGCAGCAGGGTGCCTCAGTTAAAACATGCTTCTCTCCCTTTCTATTATTTTAAAAATCAATTGCTGGCCTGTAGGGTCCTTAATAGAGAGTAAGTGGACAGTGTCAGGTTTCACCTTATTATGGAAGAGAGACATTTTCAGCTCTGACCTAGAAAGTCACATTGGGAATGAGTGGCATGTCTTTGAATCCTCCTAAATGGAGATGAAGTATCATGTCAAGGGCATGAAGCACTGGAAGGGGGGTGGACATCAGACCTGGTGTCCTCCCTCCTTCCCCATGCCTCTCGTTTCCAATGAGACCTTGGGTTGGCCCTCTTTCAAGACACTGAATGCACAAGTTATTTTCTCCCTGCCCTGCCAGGGTCCACATCAGCCAAGGGAATAGGAGAGACTCCAGAATTAAATGCAAGTGTCTCCAGCCAGCTCCTTTCTCACACAGCATCTCACTTATCCTCCTGCAACATGGAGGTGAGAATTAGAATCCCCATTTCACAGATGAGGCAATTGAGGATTAAGACATAGTAGTTACCACACCTCTTACATTCTCTATGTGTTTGACATAAATCCTCTGCTTTATGTCTCATAACAAACCAAGCACAACAGAACATTAGCTCCCAGGCCATATATCACAAAGAGCAGCTACAGCGTGAGTAAGGGAGAAAGAAAGACAATGGCAAATTTTATCAGGCCCTATGTTTGTTTCTCTGGTAGCATAGTGCCTAAGGCACTTGACTGCTAACCAGAAGGCTGGTGATTCAAACCCACCAGCCACTCCTCGGATGGAAGACTGGGCAATCTACTTCCATAGTGATACTACCTCGGCAACCCAAGTAGGGGTCGCTATGAGTCGGGGCCGACTCGATGGCACATGACAACAACAACATGTTTTGTTGATGCATTGAACACCAGTGACTGAAGACCAGACAAGTTGTGGAAGGACATCATACATGAAGAAAGCAAAAGATTATTAAAAAGGAAAGGAAGAAAAAACAAAATGGATGTCAGAAGAAACTCTGAAACTTCAAAAGACAGCAGCTACAGCAAAAGTAAGAAATGATGAAGTAAAAGAGCTGAAAAGAAGGTTTCAAAGGGCAGCTCGAGATGACAAAGTACAGTCTTATAATGAATGTACAAAGACCTGGAGTTAGAAAATCAAAAAGGAAGAACACGCTCAGCATTTCTCATGCTGAAAGAACTAAAAAAAAAATTCAGGCCTCAAGTGGTAATACTGAAGGATTCTATGGGCAAAACATTGAATGATGCAGGAAACATCAAAAGAAGATGGAAGGAATACACAGAGTCACATTACCAAAAAGAATTGGTCAATGTTCAACCATTTCAGGTGGTAGCATATGAAAAAGAACCAACAGTATTGGAGGAAAAAGTCCAAGCTGCACTGAAGGAATTGGAGAAAGGCAAGGCTCCAGGAACTGATGGAATTACCCATTGAGATCTCTCAACAAATGGATGCAGCACTGGATGTGCTCACTCATTTATACCAAGAAATTTGGAAAACAGCTACCTGGCCAACCAACTGCAAGAGATCCATATTTGTGCCCATTGCAAAGAAAAGTGATCCAACAGAATGAGGAAATTATCGAACAATACGATTAATGTCATATGCAAGTAAAATTTTGCAAAAGAGAATTCAAAAATGATTGCAGTATATTGACAAGTAACTGCCAGAAATTCAAGCCAATTTAGAAGAGGATGTGGAACAAGGGATGTCATTGCTGATGTCAGATGGATCTTGGCTGAAAGCAAATATCACAAAGATGTTTACCTGTGGTTTACTGGCTATCCAAAGGCATTCAATTTTTGTGTTTTTTAAAAGAAATTGTGGATAACTTGGTGAAGAATGGAAATTCCAGAACACTTAATTGTACTTGTGAGGAACCTGTACAGAGACCAAGAGGCAATCATTCGAACAGAACAAGGGGACATTGCATAGTTTAAAATCAAGAAAGGTGTATGTCAGGGTTGTATCCTTTCACCATCCTTATTCAATCTGTATGGCTGAGCAAAGAATCTGAGAGGCTGGACTATATGAAGAAGAAAGTGGCATCAGAATTGGAGGAAGACTCATTAACAACCTGTGATATGCAGATGATACAACCTTGCTTGCTGAAAGTGAAGAGGACTTGATGCATTTACTGATGAAGATCCAAGACTACAGCCTATAGTTTGGATATACCACAACATAAAGAGAAGAAAAAATCCTTACAACTGGTAAGCAGCAGCATGATAAATGAAGAAAAGATTGAAATTTATCAAGGATTTCATTTTACTTTGATCCCCAATAAACACCCATGGAAGCAGCAACCAAGAACTCAAAAGACCTATTGCATTGGGCAAATTGCTACAAAAAAACCATCTTTAAAGCATTAAAGAGCAAAGCTGTTACTTTGAAGACTAAGGTGCACCTTACCCAAGCTACAGTATTTTCCACCATCTCATATGCATGTGAGAGCAGGACAATGGATAAGGACAAGCAGAGAAGAATTGATGGATTTGAACTACGGTGTTAGTGAAGAATATTGAATGTACCATGAACTTCTAGAAAAATGAATAAATCTGTATTGGAAGAAATATAACCAGAATACTCTTTAGAAGTGAGAATGGCCAGACTTTGTCTCCTGTACTTTGGTCATGCTGTCAGAAAGGACCAATCCCTGGAGAAGAATGTCATGCTTGGTACAGTCAGTGAAAAAGTCAGTGAAAAAGGGGAAGACCCTCAATGAGTTGGACTGACACAATGGCTGTGACCCTGGGCTCCAGCCTGGGCTCAAGCCTGGCAGTGATCGTGAGCATGGCACAGGACTGGGCAATGTTTCATGCTGTTGTACATAGGGTTGCTATGGGTCTGATCTAACATCTAACAATAACAACATGCTTTGCCAGGTGCTGTGCATGATAGTTCTACATCTGTAGCTCCATAGTAAGTCAGCTTAATGCCTGTGGGAAGAGTGGTACCCACTCCTGGGACTATTCTGAAGATTACATGGGTTGGCTAACATATACTAAGTGCCTAAGAGAATTTCTGACACATAGCAAGCACTTCAAAATAGTGTTATTTGCTGTCCCTTAATGTTGCTTTGTTCCCCAGACTGTTAATCCTTCAGTACAGGGGCCATGATTGACTCATCTTCATATTCCCGCTCCCAATCACAACATCTAATGTATAAAAGGTGCTCAATAAATATTTATGGACTATAAGTAACAACCATTTATTGAGAATTTTCTATGTCTCCAGGCATGAAAGGGCTAAGCAATTTATAGACATTATGCTTTTAAGATATAATTTGGTGAAATTTCCATGTATTGTGCCATTCATGCTACAAAGTAAAGCTATTGTTATCAGCTTCATTTAATGGATGCAGGTAACAAAACCCAGAGAGGCTAAGTCATGTACCCATGATTACACTGCTAGTAAGTGGTAGAGCCAGGATTTGATCCTGGGATTCTGACCCCAAATTTCATCTGCTTAATTACTTTATTTCTGAATCATACAGCTCAGTCCTCACAAGAATGAGGCATGTTTTCCATGTGAGAAAACAGGCTCACAGAGGCCAAGCAACTTGTCCACTCGTCATGGGTCCGAGATCCAAAACCAAGTCAGGCTGATTTTTTCCCCCTAAAATATGTAAAAGATGAGAATTGGGAGAAGGAACAGACAAAATGGTTTTTATCCCTCCTATGGTTTTACAGATGCCGAAGGCTTGCCTACTGAGTCCCACTTGGGGGATCTAGGTTTTGGTGGAAGGACGTGTTCTGAGGCAATTACAAGTTATTCAATTCAATTCATGACTTCGCTCAGTTCAAACCATGAAATATTAACATGAATGAAGACTCTGTTTCCCACTGGTTTACTTTCCAGTCATTGTTGATGGGTCTCCATATGTTTATTTTCCAGATCATAGTGGATGAGTTCCATGGATTTATGTTCCAGAACATTGTAGATGAGTTCCATGGGTTTAATGTCCAGAACACTGTGGATGAGACTCCATGAGTTTACTTTCCAGATAATAGTGGATGTGTCTCATGGGTTTATTTTCCAGTGGCTGATTGTCCCCATTGACTTATACTCCCTGGATTTATAATCAGCCAGTATTGCTTTCCTTCCTATTCCATTTACTCATCTTCTCTTCATTTCCTTTGATTTCTACATCGTCAAGCACAGACACTTGTTTCTGGGAGGAAAACAAGATGTGAAAATGCAGCCAAAGTGTGTCTCCTTGACGGTCTGCCTGGCCTTCATTTCCAAAGCTGTTACGGCAAATGTTCTATTTGTCTCTGGTTCAGCACTGTGATTTTAGAACCCAGCACTAATCTTGGAAGGGCTGGATGTGGCCCATGGAGTCTCATTGAGTTATTTGCTATTTTATTCTTGGTCTGAGATTCCCCAAAAGGAAACCAGCACCGATCAGAAATACAGTCTATATCAGGAGACTTGCTACCTGACAAGGATCTGAGGGTTTCCTTCCAGTGGTTCCAGTTTGATGATGCTTCTGATTCGGGATCCCAGGGAAGCATGTGCAGGTGGAGCCAATCCCAGTCCTTTGCACACAGCACTCCCTCTCTACAAGTCAACACATTGCTTGGCCTCTAGGAGCCTCAGTTTTCTTACATGTATACAACACCTCCTTCAGGGGTTTCATTTCTGCCCACCCCACTCCTCTGAGTCTTAGTTTGTCATCTCTGTAATGGGCCCATCTCCTGGTTCTAGTGTAGACTGTGGGTGACCAGGCTGTCGGAGCTGAGGCATATCAGAGGGCTCTAGTTTCTGCCTTCTCACTCACCTTCTGCCTGTTCTCTTTCTTGCCCATCCTACCTTATCTCCATTCATCAATTCATTTCCTGAAGAAGGAAAAAAGAGAGAGGAATGGAAGAAGGGAAGTAGGGAGGCAAGGAGAAAAGACACATTTATCAAGCATCTACAGTCTACCAGGCACCATGCTATTATACTATATAGACAGTATGCTATATATGCTTTATACTATATAGATAGATTATCAAATGAGGAAACCGCATGCCTAAATACTGTCTAAGCATGCACTGTGTGCTAGGAATATCATTGAGGAAGTGATTAAAAGCATAGACTCTGGAACTAGACTACCTGGGTAAAAGTTCCAGCTCTATCAATTACCAGCTGGATGATCTAGGGCAAGATAAGTTCTCTGTGCCTCAGTTTTCTCACCTGTAAAATGTGGTGGCAAATCTCATAACAACCTCTTAGGGTGATTGGGAGAATTTAATTAAGTATCATCTGTAAAGCACTTAGAACCATGTTTGGCACATTATACATGTTAAATAAGTGTTTATTAAATAAGTAAAACAAAAATAAGTAAGTCCTGATAAAAATAACCCCAAAAGGCAAGGATTACTCTCTTCCCCAGGGTTGGTGGCATCCCAAAGTCTTCTAACACTAACCACACCTTCTCTTCCAGTGCTGGAGCTGGGAGGACTGGCTGCTTCATCGCTATTGACACCATGCTTGATATGGCTGAAAATGAAGGGGTGGTGGATATTTTCAACTGTGTGCGTGAGCTCCGGGCCCAGAGGGTCAACCTGGTGCAGACAGAGGTGAGTCCTGGGGGTCTGGACTGGTCAGCCACCTGCAGCCCTGGCCAAGGAAAAGCAAGGTAGGTCGGAGACCCGTAAGTGGGGACATGCTGCAAAAAGGACCTGATGTTGGAGGAATTGGAGGGATTGAATATGTGGCTTGCCATGGGGACACCACCCATAGAAACTAGGAAGCTCCAGCCAACCATGAGGACCTACGGTGCAGGGACTTCCACCAATGATTTAAGGTGGTGAATTTCCCATTGTTGAGGGTATCCAGGCAGGGTCTGGATAGCAACTTCCGGGGATTCTTTGAATAGTATTCCTGATTTGGATGAAGAAAAGAAAATGACAGGGAATGACTAGAATTAATTGAGTGCCTACTTTGTGCCAAGAATTGCTTCAGCCACTGCAGGCAGAGATTCCATCAACAATGGTATTGGGGAAAAAAAAAAAAAAACAACCACAATGTTACTGATTTGCTATGTGTCAAACCCTAAACTAGGCACTAGGGATTCCAGGAAGGATAATATCCTTGGATTATAGGACAGAAGTACACAGCCCTGGCTCCAAAGGAGAGATGGACATCTGAGCACCTCTCTATCCAGTTAGAGAGCCAAGACCTCTCTGAAACAGGATGATATTGGTTAAACACTTTCTATAGAGAGATAGGTCAATTTCTACATGAGAAGTTTACTCAACAAATAATTTATTAAGGACCTAGAGTAAAAGCAACAACTTCTGCCTGGTGGATTTAGAGAAGATTTTCCAGAGGAAATGAGACAGTGAAGGCATAGAAAAGTGGCAGTGGCATTCCACAGGAAGAGAATAACATGTGCAAAGCACTGAGATAGGAAAGGGTGCAGCACGTGTTTTAGGTTCTCCCAGAAGTAAACCCTCAGATGCAGATTGAAGTGAGGCAGTTTAATTGGGAGGTGATCCAAAGACATACTGGTTAGTGAGTGGGAAAATGAGACAAAGAAAGGAAGGAGATCATTAAAGGCTGCTGTACCAAGCTGTTTCATACTGTAGACAATTGGAGCTCAGTCCTGATCGGGAACTCTTAGATATAGTAAGGGACATGTACCACCACGTTATCCCACCTAAAGGAAGAGAGAACTGATGTGTTCATTCACAAACTCTCCTTCTGTCATTGGTTGAGGACTCTTTTGATGCACTGATGGCCTGTACACAGCCCATGTGCGCTCCTAGGACTACAAAGAAAGCCCTCAGCAGAAACTCTCAGGCATTTGCAATAAGCAATCTTCAGCATGTAAAGGTTAAAGCTGAGGGCATATGGTCAGGACACCAAGTACCTATTCCCTATTGCCACACATCCAGTCATTTCTAATTTTTATCAGAGACTATTTGTTCAATCTTATCCAAGGGCTAAAACTCACCATAGCTCAGGTGATCATTATAAAACATGGAAACTTGACCTCTTGGATTATAGGATAGAAAGCAAAGATTCTGTAACACAAATCATGCCCATCCTGCATAGACATGTTGTTGTTGTTGTTATGTGCCATCAAATCGGACCCGACTCAGAGCGGCCCCTCCTTGGATTTCCCAGGCAGTATCGCTACGGAAGTAGATTGCTCCATCTTCCTCCTGAGGATTGGCTGGCGGGTTTAAAAACTCACTGCCATTGAGTCGAATCCGATTCATAGTGACCCCTCCTTAGGGTTCCAAGGCGGTATCTCTACATCGGCTTAAATGTACACAAAAAGCTCCCAGATCACTATTCTTACCCAGAACTCTATTCCTTCTTCCCTTGGCTTTGTAGGAGCAATACGTGTTTGTGCATGATGCCATCCTAGAAGCATGTCTCTGTGGCAACACCGCCATCCCTGTGTGTGAGTTCCGGTCTCTCTACTACAATATCAGCAGGCTGGACCCCCAGACCAACTCCAGCCAAATCAAAGATGAATTTCAGGTATGAGCCTATCCCAGACTCTGTTCCAGCCAACTGCATTGGCTCAAAGCACACACATGGAACCTTCTTTGTGAGAACCTACATGTCTGTGCATTTTCAGTGTCTACAGCTCTAAGCAGCTGCAGAATGAATTCCAATACATAAAATGCACAGCCCTGAGCAACTATTAACAAGTCTTTCAGTAATTCCTGGTGTTTGTTTGTTTTTAACTATGATTATGTATGTTTTTGAACTAAGATCTTATTTAATTGTAGTCCAGGCTATGGATGGAGACAAGTTCACGCACACAAGTATGAACTGCATGTTTCTCAATCCCTGGAGGGACTCGGATATTCTCAGTACTTCTGTACAATTGAAATATGTCCTAGAGCCTCACTCCTCAAAGAGTGATCAAGAGACTATAAGCATCAGTATCACTTGGGAGCTTGTTGGAAATGCAGAATTTTAGGTTCCATCTGGATAAGAGTCTGCAATTTAACATGATCTCCAGAGGATTTGTGTGCACACTGAACTTTGAGAAGCATTGTCCTGAAGCACAGCTCATGCATGGCAGATCCATACCTTGGGGCTCATAGGGCCAAAATCATAGCAAATGTGGTCTGCAAGACCAGACATATATCATTAGAGAAGGCAAAGCCATGTCTCAAGGCCAATACCAGGATCATATCTGGGAAACAAGAGCTGAGAACCAGGCAAAGGGAAGCAAGGAAGCCCTGGGAAGTTAGGACATTAGGGATCAATGCTGCTGGGTCCATGGTTGATACCCCAGGCAGATACCCCAGCCAAGCCAATACCTTAGTGCCCCTTCAAACAAATAGTCTTTACTGATTTGGAGTAGAGACAGAGTGCAAAGTGAGGGAAGGGTAGAGTACAAGAACCTCTGGTGGCTGCACATGACATTTCTCTTGGTTATAATAGTTCATCTCTGTTCCCAGACTTGTGAGCTTGCTCTGCAGAATATGAGTCAATTTCCAGACCCATTAGAGCTTGCTCCTTGGGAGGCTTTCTCCCATTCTGAGAGGCTTCTTCAAGCATCCTTCTACCCTCAAATAGCTTTCTCTCTGAGAAGAATGCTGGTAAAAACCTTTTCCGCCTTCCATGATGATTCAAATGATGTTTAGTACTCATTAGGGATTCCCCACCCATGTACCTACCATATGACCTTCTGGCCACCCAGTCTTTAATGCAGCACTAGCAGAATTGAACAACTTGACTCAAATGGTTGGCATATGCTGGGAGTTGAGTATGACTGTGTCTAAGCATGCTGTCCTTCCTACCTGGGCATCTTGGTGGTGTCATACAGCCCATGGAGAGGCTCTCAGCTCCCAGGTAACTGTAGACTATCATCACAGAAGAGGAGTGAAATCTAAGCAGGAGTCCTGGGAAAAGCCCAGAGGGCCAAGTTGGAAGATAGTAATAAGGGAATTAGTACTGAGTTTGGAACATCAACCTGTCCTCTGTTCAGGAGCAGTCATCTGAATAGCACATGTCTCTGTGATCTTGTTCCCCATAGACCCTCAACATTGTGACTCCACGCGTCCGGCCTGAGGACTGCAGTATTGGGCTCCTGCCCCGGAACCATGACAAGAATCGGAGTATGGATGTCCTGCCTCTGGATCGCTGCCTACCCTTCCTCATCTCAGTGGATGGGGAATCCAGCAACTATATCAATGCAGCATTGATGGACGTAAGCAGAACCCTGACAGGGAACATTCCCAGCTGGCATTCTAGGAAAAGGTTTCTTTTCAACATGGAACTTGGCCCCAGGCACTGAGTGCCCCCATCAGCCAGCCTCTCCTTGGTTTTGGTTCTACTACTGTCCTCTCCATGCTGGCTCCCAAGGGCCTTTGCTCCCCCTAAAGACTCTGGTCTAAAACTGGATACAAGTGGAGCTCTTGTCATATAAAGAGCCTAGGAAGGATAGACGAAAAGTCTAAAGTAGCTCCCATCACATAACATTGGGGCTACAGTCCTGCCCAACCCCACTGTCATCTCCCACAGAGCCTACTCTTGGCCATAAGGCCAATTCAGGAAACATCCTACATATCAGACCCAGACCTGGGCCCTGGGAACACAAAGATAGTACAGACATAGTGTCAGCCCTTGGGCTCCCAGATAATTCCTGTTAAGGTGAGAACAAGGATGCATGTAGTAGGTGCTCAGAAAATGGCTATTGGACAAATGATGGAAGGCAACAAAGGGACCATGAAGTGGGAACCTGGGGACCAGGTCCCAGAATCTTGGCCATGCCCTGGGTTCTCTGTTGAAGAAAAAAAAAAAAAAAAAAAAAAAAACTCTGGTAGGGGCTCTATTTCTTGCCCCTTCACATGGAGTCTGACCTTTTCAACATTGGTTTCAAGAAAGATACTTCCACCTTCACCTGGTTGAGGTAGGGAGTCATGCCTCTGCCCTAGAGTTTCCATACTCCTTAATTGCATGCTTTTCCACTGAGTCCTAACTTATGGTTAGCATACCTCTACATGGGGATGTAGAGATGTTTGTAGCTGGATCATCTAGTCTCATCCATATATTTGTCAGCAAAGTAAATGAGGCCAGAGAGGGTGAAACACTTGCTCAAGGTCACCCAGAGAGCTAGTGGCAGAGCTGAAACCCAGGATTCCTGGATCACACTATAGAACTCACTCCTTGAACCTCCCCGTGTTTTTTGATCCATAAGACACAGACATCTTGCTTCCTGAGGCTCAGAACTGAGAACATTTACCTAATTGGACAATGATGCCTTCCAGGTCCCCCAACCCATGTCTAAGGTCCTATTCATCCAGCATACATGGAATCTCCATCTCCCCCAGAACAAACAGGAACATGGGTGCTATCTCCTGGGGTCAAGGCCAACTATCTCTCTGACCTGTGATCCTCTTAAACTTTTTCCCCAAGGGTCCTAAAGGCAAAGAGGATGGGGAAGGTCAATGCCTATCTCAAATCTCTAGGTTTCTGCTCTGGCCTCTGCCCACATGGTGCCTAAGTCCTCCACGAAATCTCTGGCACTTGGTCCAGAAGTAAGGAGTCTTGTCTAGGTCATATCAAATAGCTGGAAGTGGCGAGAGACACTTGGTTTTAGCTCAGAATCTTCCAAGTTCAATATGAAGTATGTGTTTCTGTGTGCGTGTATGCACATACACATGTGTGTGTACATGTACATGTGTGGGGATGGAAGGAGTGATAGGGTTTAGAAATGCACCCACATCTCCAGGTTTCTCCTAGCTTTGTCTCCCACTTGTCCCAACTCCCCCTCCTTGCCTTCCCTGACCAAGCAAGGATCAGACATGCTTCTGGCCTCTGCTTAGCAGGTTAGATGCTGCCTGGAGTCAAATGCATTCTGCCAAGCTCTGAAGCTGATTGTATTCTCTTTGTCCACAGGGTATTTCTCCTGTGAGTCATCACTGGGGTCTTTGCCTTCCCTATATAAATAAATAAATAAATAAGTCCTTATCTGTATTCCAGCTCAGTCTGTGCATTATCTGGTAACCATAGCAGCTTTGCTCCAAGCAGAAAAATATGAAGTCCTCTGGGTTAATTTTTAATGTTTCCCCTGGTAAAGGATGATGTTATCCATGAAATGGATTGCCAGCTGATCCCTGAAACCCGGCAGGAGCATGGATCTCGAACATATTTTCAGATAAGGCTCTGTCAGCTGTGCTGGCCTAATAGAGCATTTATCACAGAAACAGGGAGAAGGGACAGAAAACTAACATTCACTGAGTGTTGGGTACCATGTCAGGCCCAGACTTACCCTGGCTCATTCTGAATTTGGGTATTATTATCCCCATTTCTCGGAAGAGGTACAGAGGGTCAGAGTATTGTGATGACTTGCCCAAGATCAGGTAGCCCAGAAAGAATCGGTCTGAAGATCTGAACCTCAATTCTGTTGATTCTTAAAGCCTTGGTTCCTTTCAATGTCTGCAAATGATTGAAAGACTATGCTTTCTGCATCTGGAGGGTTTGGCTTTCATGGAAACTAAATGGCCTGTCTTCTAGACCTTCCCTTAACCTTTCCACTGACCCAGAAACAGTCCCCAGAGGACAGGACTCTGGTGCAGATGTGACATCCCTGGCCACAAGACATTGCCCAGTTTGTCTTTTGCCAGGGTCTGTTCTTAGACCCTGAAGGAAGAGAAGGATATCATACTTGGTAAAGTAGAGGGTCTGCAAAGAGGGAAAGATGCTCAGTGAGATGGGTTGATGCAGTGGCTGCAGTAAAGTGCTTGAATAGCAATGACTGGGAAGTGCGGGGCCAGGCAGTGTGTCATTGTGTTGTACATTAAGTCATTAAGAGTCAAAACCGACTCAACAACACCTAATAGCAACGACAACAACTCCTGGTTGGGTGGACAGACCCCTGTTCCATTCCCCACCCCATCTCTGTGTTCTGTTTTCATCTTCCTGCCAACTTGTGATTCCACTGAAAACAACCATGATTCCCCTAGGGACTATCTCCAAAGAAAGTTTGTTGAGAATGCGAGTTAGTTCTCAGGTTTCACAAACCACATAAAGAAATAGAGAAGCTCCCCAATCTCTCCAAGCACCTCTTCATGGGGTAGTGTGATAAGTAGGGCCCACTCAAAGCTTCACACATAGCCTGGATTCACATAGGCCATTTTCTCTGGACCTCAGTTTCCCTGTCTGTACAATGTAACTAAATGTACTCATTATTTGTTGGGCATGTACTGAGTATCTCTTGAATGCTGGCTGCAACCCTGGGTGCCAAGGATGGAGAACTAAATTGATCCTCTTCCCCATTCCCAATGGGCTCACAGTCAGGCTCCTCCTTGCCTGAGTTTTTAGATGTAAATCTTGTTTAATCTGTACAAGAACCACGCTTTTGGGGTTATGATTCCTATTTTACAGATAAGGAACCTGACCTTTAGGGAAAGATCTAGTAACTTAGTGCTTAGCTTCAAAAAAAAGAGACACTGTACAAACGATGCTTGAATGAATGAATGGATACATGCATGCATAAATGAATGGACAGGTGAATGACTCACAGCTACAAATGCCAAAGCTAAAGTTTGAAGCCCAGATCTGCCTGATTCTGAAACATGGCCACATTTCATTGTCCTGATGCCTCACAAGATGCAGTCCCCACCTATGCTAACTAAGCCCTAATTCTACTCTTAGGACAGGAGCAAGCCCTCTGCAATATAAGCCCTTTCAGGAAACTCTCACCTGACCCTGCCTCCCACCAGCGCTGTGAGCATGGAGACTCAGATGAGCCCTAATATCCCAGGAGGTGCCTTAGCTGGCAGAGAAGTAAATCTGCATGTGCAGTCTTTCATTTCATATTCTAATGATTATTATTTGCCGAGTTCCAAGACATGAATAATTTATTTGGATAAACCCCACCCGAGTGACACTTCCCTAATGAAATGTCTTAGTTTGGAGGAGAATGAGTCCATTATGAGAAGGTCTCCTTCGTTGCCAGAGAAGCAAGAGATAAGGAACAGGCAGGTGCTTTGTATTTGTTTGGCAGCTTGGGGGCCTCTGGCAGCCTTTTGGGTTGATTGCCATCAGAACACCACTGATCGAAGTGCATTTGACCAAACCTCTGTCGTTCCTTTGTCAGAGCCACAAGCAGCCTGCCGCCTTTGTGGTCACCCAACACCCTCTCCCTAACACTGTGGCGGACTTCTGGAGGCTGGTGTTCGATTATAACTGCTCTTCTGTGGTGATGCTGAATGAGATGGACACTGTCCAGGTAGGAGGAACACTGGCCACTTCCCTGGGTGGGCTTGAGTGGGTCGAGGAAGTCATCCTAGACTTGGAGGGAATGCCTTTGAGGGCCATGGCAGTGCTGTCACTGCTGTCTTCCACATGGTGGTGGGCACCACCTAGCTGTGAGCCCCAGGCCAGCCAACTCTGCTACCCACCAGGCCCTGCTGCCCCAGGCCTTCCCAATTCCAGCCATGACTCCCTCATCTATGAGCTTTGTCCAACTCCCTCCAGGGCCAGCGTCACTCCATCCCCCAGGCACAGCTTGGGCTCTTGTTCCAAATCACACAGAGGTTGAAGGGCCAACAATCTATCTCCCCAATTCTGTGCATCTCCAGCCTGAAGTACACCTGATGCCAGCCATACTCACCAGCCCTGTGCCCTCTGTGATACAGCCTCAATGGCAGAGCCTGGAATTAAACCTTAGACCCAGTGCCCTTTGACCCCACACTCAACCCTGGCGTCCTTTCAGTTGGCCTTCACGTGCCAGCAGTCTTCCCACTTTAGCCTCTCTGTGTCTGACTGCCCATATGCATCCTATCCCTATAGCATATCCCCATACTCAGGCAACCCAACGCAGGACATATGGAATGGGGTAGTTCCTGGAGGTCGTACCCCCCTGGCAGGGCAGCCATTCCAGGTGGAGAAGGCAAGACTAAGCTTTCAGCTTTTTGAAATGCAGCCCTTTCACTGCCTTGAAGGAAACTCACAGTAATCCAACATACTCTTGTATGAGTGCTGGCCTTGTCTGGAAATAAAAGAATGGATCTGAGCCATAGTTTCAGCGATCCTGGAACCCACAGTCTTGCTAGAGACAGATGAGCAAATTGTCCCAGCCTCATGTGGCAGTGTTATAATAGAGGTCAGCAGGAAGTGCTGTGTTGGCTGGGAGCAGGGAACAATTAATTCTGCCCAGAGGGTGAGGGAAGACTTCAAAAAGAAGGTGACTTTGGCCTTGAAGAAGAAGGTGTGGGCTTCAGGGGAAGAACTAGCTGGGAAGAGGCATTCTGAGCAGAGGGAAAGCAGGGGCAAAGGCAAGGAGGGGGTGAATGTGTGCAGATTTATTCACAGAGCAGCTCCTGTTCCACTGTGGCTAGGCCTTGGGATATATAAAGAGTAGGAGACGGTGATTGGGCTAGAAAATGCAGCAGGGCTCTGCTTATAAAGAGCATCAGAGGCCAGGCTAGAGTTTGGGCCTGTCCTGTATCAGACTTCTACTTTTTGAACAACAAAATCCTTTCTTCAAATAAGAGCTGCCATGAAAGCCTGATGTCAGCAGAAGGTATGATCAAGAGCTGCTTGTGCTGCAGCACAAGGTTTGGGGATCTTGACCTCTTGTGGTGCCCCTGGGACCGTCCATCACTCCAGGTACCTTTGTGGAATCCCTGGGGTTCTCAGGAACTCAGCTGGAAAACAGTTGCTGTGCAAGGAGGAGAGATCCTGAGAGTGTAAGGTGTGATGTGGCAACACCCAATTTCCTATTAGAAAGCTAAGTCTGGAAACCAGTGAGAAAGAAAGACTGGAAGGACAGCCTAAAAACCAGGAGATTGGGGAGGAGCACATTGGAAATGAGCAGAAAATACAGGTGATGACTAGAACTGGGGAAGTGCCCAGCAAGTAGGACAACTGGGGCTGGATGTGAAGATGTTTCTGTGGGTGAAGTCCGTAATATCTAGGAGCAGTTGGATGTGAGAGCTGAAAGAGAAGAAACCACTGATGAAGCAAAGTTCCTAGTCTGGGTAATCAGGCATCCAGTGTGGAATTAGCCAAGATGAGGAGGCAAGAAGAGGAGCAAGAGAGGGTAGGGAGAGGAGCTGGAAAAGCATGGACGCAGGGAGAGGAGCAGGTTAGTAGGGAATGAAATGGAGTGCAGCTTGGGACATGTCTGTGAGAGCCACATTCAGGAAAGGTCCACTTCATTCAGTCAACCCATATTTGCTGAGCAGCTACTATTTGCCAGGCACTGTCCTAGGTACTTGTATGCATCAATGAACAAGACAGACAAAACAAAGAAATCAGCTGGTGAGTGCTATGGAAAAAGAAAATAAGAGGGCAGAATAATGAAACTTGAGAAAGCTCAGGCTGGGACATGGGATGCAATTTTCATAGGGTGGTCAGAGTCAGCCTCATTGACAAGGCAATATTTAAGCAAAGACTTGAAGGAGGTGACTTAGCTTTCTAATAGGAAATTGGGTGTTGCCACATCACAGATGAGGTCAGAGACTCAGTAAGGCCAGGTCATGGAGGGCCCTGAAGGTCATAGGAAGAACTCAGGATTTTATTTTGAGAGAAATGGGGAGCGACTGAAAGGTTTTGAGCAGAAGAGTGACATAGGCTATTTTCAAATAGCTGTGTTGAGAATAGACTATTGGTGTGGGAAAGGGTGGTGATTCCTAAGAGCAGAAGCAGACAGACCAGAGAGGAGGCAACTCCAAGAATCTAGGCCACAGATGATAGTGCCTCAAAGCGTTGTGATAGCCGTGGAGTGAATTCTGGATATATTTTGAAAGTAAAGCCAACAAAATATCCTGACAGATTGAATATGGCATGTGAAAGAAAAGAGAAATCAAGGATGACTCTGAGGTTTGGAGCCTGAACAGTGGAAGGGTGGCAACTGAGATAACCGGAAATAAATAGAGTCCTGTATGCCTAAGACCCCTGCAGAGTTCTAGAGTCAGTGGTACCACTACCCTCTTCCTTTGCCTTAGAAGGTAAAACGCTGAACTCTGCTTCATGATGAAATCATGGGTGAAGTGGAGTCTCTGAAAGCCTGTGTGCTGTTGCCTTTCTCCAACATCCTTTTTTGCAAGATTGGAACTCGGGCACAGAGGGCTGCTTCAGAGAACCTCACTTTGGGGCAGACAGAGAGGCAAAGGTCAAGGTCATTGGCTATCTTCCCCTCTTCCGGGGTGGGTCCTAAATGAATGAAGGATCTTTCAGCCCCAGATGTTGATACAGCCTTTGAGACTTGATTCTCTAAATGTAAAAATGTCAGGCTCAGAAGTGCCCCAAGGTTGGCTGTCATATGCAGCTGGCAAGCAGCCCCTGAAGCCGGCGGCAGATGAATAGAGCACTTATTGATATAAATATCATCACTGCAGCAGCTGGGCGCCTTGCGAAAATAAACAATGACACAGCGTGAGCATCAGAAAAGCCGCCCTCAGCACCTGGAGCAGTGCTTCTCTGAAGTGGCTTCAGCTTTGTCTGGCAAGCCAACCCAAGGCTGGGGCCAGCCCTGGAACATGGACAGGCTTCCATTAGGTTCCAAGCATCACTAGATTGCTCCCTGGAGCACCAATGCCACACCTGGTGGTCTGCCACCCTGTGGTCTGTACAGGCCTCCTATTGAGGGTTACAGTAGGGCTACATAAGTTACCTGTAAGTCACAGAAAATTAGGGGTAAGGCAAGGATGTGAGCTCTCACAGTGCTTCTTTTTCTTGTACTGCTACCCAGATATGTCTGTCTCTGGTCCAAATTCTACACTACTTTGTTCAATTGGCCATCTTTAGCTACAAATATTCTCCCATTCTGCAGTGACTACTGTTTGAAGAATTATGATCAGTGGGGGCTCAAGATAAAGACTCTCAAAGCAGCTGCATTTGACCTTAGAGATGTTTCTAGCTCTTTAGGACTCTACAGGCCTATGGTCAGATTAACCAAAAACCAAACTCACTGCCATCAAGTCATTTCTGACTCATAGCCACCCCAATTGGGTTTCCAAGGCTGTAAATCTTCATGGAAGTAGATCGTCCCATCTTCCTTCCACAGAGCACCTGGTGGGTTTGAACCACTGACCTTCCAGTTAGCAGTCAAGTCCCTTATCCACCATGCCACCAAAGCTCCTTTGGGACACAATCCTAGAACCATAACATTTAGCAGATGACGTTTAGCAGATACGGTTTTCCATACTGGTCAGAAAGAATCTTTTCAACCAAGTCCAGCAGCATTGACAAGGTCTCCTTCATCTTCGTGCATGCTATGCATAGGCTAGAAACCACAGGGACCAGAAAACAGAAAGAAGCCCTCCTCAAAGTCATGCCACACACACCCATGTTGTTTAGAAAGTGCAAAAGGCCCTCCATGCCAGCCATAGGATGAGATTCTTAGGTAGGCAGAATAATGGCCTCCTAAAGATGTCCAAGGAACTCTGGTATCATAGTGCCTAAGCCACTTGACTGCTAACCAGAGGGCTGGCAGTTCAAACCCACCAGCCACTCCTCGGAAGGAAGATGGGGCAATCTACTTCCGTAGTGATACTGCCTCGGAAACCCAAGGAGCGGTCGCTATGAGTCGGGTCCGACTCCACGGCACATAACAACAACAACAACAAAGATGTCCATGGAGTCTATGTGGTGTCAATGGTTGATGCACTTGGCTGCTAACCAAAAGGTTTGTGGTTTGAGTCCATGGAGAGAACAATATCTCAGAAGAAAACCATGGTGATTTACTTTCAAAAGAATCAGCTATTGGAAACTTTATGGAGCACAGTTTTACTCTGACATACATGGGGTTGCCATGAGTCAGAATTGACTCAAAAGAAGCTGGTTAAAGGAGCTCTGGTAGTGTAGTGCCTAAGGCTCTTGACTGCTAACCAGAAGTCTGGCGGTTCAAAACCCCCAGTCACTCCTCGGAAGGAAGGTTGGGCAATCTACTTCCACAGTGATGCTGCTGCCTTGGCAACCCAAGGAGGGCTTGCTATGAGTCAGGTCTGACTCAATGGCACATAACAACAACACAACAACAAAAACAAAACAACAATCTTTTGAGCTGGTAACTATGTGACCTTACATGGCAGAAGGACTTTGCCGATGTGATTAAGTTCAAAATCTTAAGGTAGAGATTATCCTGGGTTATCTAGGTGGGTCTATTGTAATCACATGGGTTCTTATGGGAAGGAGGCAAGAGGATCAAAGTAAATGAAAGGCAATGGAAGAGATGGTAGTGATGTGGCCACAAGCCAAGGGCTGTGGACAGCCTCTGGAAGA